GGGCTCCACCCCCAAACCCGGAGATCATGACCTGAGCTGAAGGCAAACCCTTTACCAACTGAGTCACCCAGGTGCCCCCCAAAAAGCTACAACTATTAATGTATATGGCATTTGGCATAAGGACATATAATAAACAAATACACATTTATTCAAGAAAATCTACTAAGATTCAGTAAGAAGAATGAGAATCTGGAGCACCTGAATCACAAACTCCTCCCTCTCCCCTTTGTTGACACTTAGCCTGAAAGAAACTTCACTCCAGACAAGAGCAGCCAAGAACATAGGGCTCCCTTGTGGCTTAACTCTTGCGCCAGGGACAGGCTGCCAGCATTTATCAAATACAATAGCTACATTTTGTAGGGTCTAAATTCCAGGTGACTGGGGATCCCTGGGTGGTGCAGCAGTTTGGCGCCTGCCTTTGGCCCAGGGCGCGATCCTGGAGACCCGGGATCGAATCCCATGTCGGGCTCCCCGTGTATGGAGCCTGCTTCTTCCTCTGCCTATGTCTCTGCCTCTCTCTCTCTCACTGTGTGCCTATCATAAATAAATAAAACAAAAAAATTTTTTTAAATAAATAAATTCCAGGTGACTTCATGAGAAGTCAAAGCCTCCCTTCCCACCTAGCCCCTATTCATAGGACAAAATAGGGATGTTGGGGCTGAGAGACTGAGACATTGATTTCTCTCCTATCAGCTTATCTGGAGGGTGGAAGTTCCACTATGGGAGAGGCAGCCAAGAGGGCCAGAGGCTACCGCCTTTCGTCAGTACCCTCTTCCTAAAAGAAAAGGGTACCATACTTAGAGAAATCTCGACTTCCAGTTCCACAGTTCAGAGATTTTTTTTCATAGAAGAAAAAGATAGGTCTTTACAACAGAGAATTCTGTAGGTCTCCGGAATGAACTAACTCTAAGTAAAGCACAGCGTGGGAAAGCTAAGGGTGCTCTTAGAAACAATAGAGGTGTGTTGGGGGTGAGAGTGACAAGTCAAAAAGTTTGCCAGTAAGTTTACCAGACAGAAACAGAGAAAGAGACACCTAAGAAAATCACTGTGGGGTCAGAGCAATCACCATACACTGGCTTCAGAACCACCTCTAAAATGAGGCCCAACTTTAACTGTCAAAGTGTGTACCAATTTATGTTCAAGGGAATGGTAAAAACAATAAAGTAGATCAACCAGCAATTAAAGGAGTCTAACATCTGGGTATGATCAGGGATAGAGGCAGTTAAAGAGCACCCTCCTAAACCATTATCGTCCCAGGTAACTATTTGCAAGCACAAAGATGTGCCCTCTCAAGAGCAACATCAGAGACTTCAAACTAAAATACTACCACTAGTAATTAAATAAACAAACTACAATATTAAGCACCAAATGGGTGAGAGAGAATCATATCAAGAGTTACTACAATATGTTATCTAAAATTTAAAGTCAAAGAAATATAAATAGATATGATATACAAAGACTTAAGAAAGTGGCTCATGGGGCAGCCTGGGTGGCTCAGCGTTTTAGCGCCACCTTCAGTCCAGGGCCTGATCCTGGGGACCCAGGATGGAGTCCCACATCGGGCTCCCCACAAGGAGCCTGCTTCTCCCTCTGCCTGTGTCTCTGCCTCTCTCTCTCTTTCTGTGTCTCTTATGAATAAATACATCTTAAAAAAAAGAAAGTGGCCCATGTACATTTAAAAAAAAAAGAAAAGCAACAAACTTTCTTTGAGGGTCCAGATGTTGACTATAGCAAAGACTTCAAAACAGCTATCATATCTTTGAAGAATTGAAGGAAATTATGTTTAAAAATCTACAGGAAGGCATGATAATGTCTCTTCAAATAGACATTATCAAAAAGGACAAAGAGGAATGCCTGGGTGGCTCGGCAGTTGAGTGCCTGCCTTCTGCTCAGGGCGTGATCCCGGGGTCCTGGGATCGAGTCCCACATTGGGCGCCCTACAGGGAGCCTGCTTCTCCCTCTGCCTGTGTCTCTGCCTCTGTCTCTGTGTCTCTCATGAATAAATAAATAAAGTCTTAAAAAAAAAGAAAAAGACATTCTAAAAATAAAGATGGAAATTCTAAAGTTGCAAGCACAATAACCAAATATATGTGTGTGTGTGTGTATATATATATATATATATATATATATATATATATATATATCACTACAGAGCTCAACCATAGATCTGAACTTGTGGAAGAAAGAATCAGCAAACATAAAAGAAAAGTTGGTAGATTAAACAACCCAAAAAACTGGTGAGTAGGTGGGAGCCCTCTTACACTGCTGGTGGGAATGCAAGCTGGTGCAGCCACTGTGGAAGACAGAGTGAAGGGTCCTCAAAGAGTTAAAAATAGAACTACCCTAGGATCCAGCAATTGCACTACTGGGTATTTACCCCAAAGGACACAAAAATACAGATTCAAAGGGATACACATGCCCCAGTGTCTATAGCAGCATTATCTACAATGGCCAAACTATAGAAAGAGCTCAAATGTCCATCAACTGAACAAAGAAGATGTAGTATTAAAAAAAAGATGTAATATATATATATATATATATATATATATATATATATATATATATGGGAATATTACTCAGCCATCAGAAAGAATGATGTTTTACCATTTGCAATCATGTTTTTGGAGCTGAAATGTATTATGCTATGCAAAATACGTCAGTCGGAGAAAGACAAATACATTATGATTTCACTCATATGTGGAATTTAAGAAGCAAAACAGATGAGCATATGGGAGGGGGGAAGAAAAAGAGAGAAAAGGGAACAAACCATAAGAGACACATATATAGGGGCAGCCTGGGTGGCTCAGCGGTTTAGTGCCACCTTCCGCCCAAGGTTGTGATCCTGGAGACCTGGGATTGAGTCCCACGTCAGGCTCCCTGAATGGAGTCTGCCTGTGTCTCTGCCTCGCTCTTTCTCTGTCTGTCATGAATAAATAAATAAAATTTTAAAAAAAGAGACACATATATCACATATATATACATATAAAAAAAGACACATATATTTTATATGTAATATATATATGTTTTTTATATATATATATATATATGTTTTTATTTCCTTTGGATGTATTTCCAGAAGTGAAATTGCTGAATCAAATGGTAGTGCTATTTTTAATTTTTTGAGGACCCTCCACACTGTTTTCCATAGTGGTACAATGTTTTCCATGTACCAATTTACGGGTCCACCAACAGTGCCCAAGGCCATGCCGGCAGGCTGTCTCTTGCCTTTTGGATGATGGCTATTCTAACCTTATAGGCATGAGGTGATAGCTCACTGTGGTTTTAATTTGCACTCTCCTAACGCCTAGTGATGTTGCCTATCTTTTCCTGTGCCTATTAGTCCTTTGAATATCTTCTTTGAGAAATATCTCTTCAGGCATTCTGCTCATTTTTGGTCTTATCTGGATTTCTTTTTAAGGCAGGTGCTCAACCGCGGAGCCACCCGTGGCTGCCCTGATTGTTCTTTTAAGATTTTATTTATTTATTCGAGAGAGAGAGAGAGAAAGAGAGAGAGAGAGAGAGAGAGAGAGAAGCAGGCTCCGTGCAAGGAGCTGGACGTGGGACTCGATCCCAGGACCTGGGGTCACGCCCTGGGCCGAGGGCAGATGCTCAACCGCTGAGCCACCTGGGCGTCCCTTATTATTATTTTTTAAAGATTTTATTTATTTATTCATGAGAGAGAGGCACAGGCAATGGGAGAAGCAGACTCCACGCAGGGAGCGCAACGCGGACTCGATCCCGGCGCCCCGGGGTCACGACCTGAGCCCAAGGCAGGTGCCCAACCGCTGAGCTTCCCAGGCGTCCCTGATTATTATTTTTCAAAATTTTTATTTATTTATTCATAAGAGAGAGAGAGAGAGAGAGCGAGGCAGAGACACAGCAGAGGGAGAAGCAGGCTCCATGCGGGGAGCCCGACGCGGAACTAGAACCCTGGGTCACGCCAGGGGGGTCACGCCCTGGGCGGAAGGCGGCGCTAAGCCGTGGAGCCACCCAGGGGTCGCCGTATTTATTTATTTATTTAAATTAAGATCTTATTTATTCTCGAGACAGGCAGAGACGGACGCCCCGCGGGGAGCCCGACGCGAGACTCGATCCCGCAGCGCCGGGGTCCCGCCGGGAGCCGAAGGCCGACGCTCCGCCGCGCCCCCCGCCCCCCGCCCCGGAAGTCAGCGCCGTCGGTCCTTCCATCCCGTGCCCTCCGCAGACCCCCCAGGCCGGCCCCCCATCCGGGGAAGCGCGCCTGGGCGGGACTTCCGGCGTCGGAGGTGCCCGCCGCGGGGAGCTGGACACGCGGGCGGAACGGACCGGCGGCGGCGGCCGCGCGGAGCCGGGCGGAGGGGAGCGGAAGGAGGGCGCGCAGAGCGGAAGTGGGGGGGCGGGTGGGGGCGCTGTGTGCGGCGGTGGCCGCGGCGGGCGGCGGCCGCGGAGGCCCAGTGCCCTCTGCCGGGCGGCGCGGGGAAGACGTGAGATCCCAGAGTGTCACTTAAATTCGTTGCGTGGTGAGAGGACTCAGCAGGGCCTCGCGGAGGGAGGGAAAAAAAGAAAAAAGTTGCTGATTGCATAATGCCCCCCCCCCGTCCCGCCCCGTCGCGGTTCCGCCCTCGGCCCGGGGCAGCCGCGGGCGCTGCAGATGCCGGAGGCGCGGACATGGCAGGTCTGGCGGGGGCAGCCCGGGGCCTCGGTCGGAGGGGCGGCCCGGGGAGCGCGGTTGTGAAACCCGCGGGGGGCGGGAGGACCGCTTAAAAGAGCTGCTCCGGCCTGGACCTGCCACTGCCTGACCTGCGGGAGAGGCGGGCGGATGGAGCCGCGGACCGGTGAGTGATGCTGCGGCCGGGACCCGCGGTCCACCCGCCCCCCCGCCCCACCACCCCGCGGTGGGGGCCTCGCCTCGCGAGATGCGGTGGGAGGAGGCTGCGGCCGCGGCCGGAGGGGCGACGGGTCCCCCCGCGGGGGGGGAGGGGAGGGGAGGGGGAGGGGCGGCCCGGGCCATGGCCCCACGGTCGAGCCCCGGCGGGCGCCCTGCCTGGGCCTCTCTGTCTCTCTCTCTCTCTCTCCCCCTCTGTGGCTCCCGTGAATAAATCCAATAAAATCCTAAAAAAAGAAAAAAAAATTTAAACCGATTATGTGAGCCTTAATGAAAATAGTGTGCAAGCAGGCGGTAGGAGTAGGTGGAAAGGGAAATGGGAACTTGAAAGGTCGCGTGGAGACGGTCTGGAATAGTGGCGGCTTTCTGTTGTTGTTGTTGTTGTTGTTGTTGTTGTTTAGGGCCTGCTCCTCCGGCTGTGGGAGTATATGCATTCGTGTTCACTTGTGGATTCCGTGATTCAGGCAGATGGTACAACCGGTTATGTGTGGCTTTCCAGGGAGGGGCGAAAGATTTGTTCGTTTAAAGGTTTTAATTTAATTTAATTTAATTTAATTTAATTTTATTATTTTATTTTATTTTATTTTATTTTATTTTATCTATCTATCTATCTATCTATCTATCTATCTATTATTTATTTATTTATTTATTTATTTATTTATTTATTTATGAGAAAAGAGAGCAAGAGAGAGCAGGAGCTGGACGGAGAGGCGGAGGGAGAGGGAGAAGGTGACTCCGCAGTGAGCAGGGGTCTGAGGCTGGGCTGGGTCCCAGGACCACACCTCACCCCACCCCACCCCCCAGGGTCACAGCCTGGGCCTGAGGTAGGTCCTCAACCCGCTGGACCATCCAGGCAGCCCTGCATGCCGCTTTTTTTTTTTTTTTTTTTTAAGATTTTATTTATTTATTCAGGAGAGACGCAGAGAGAGAGAGAGGCAGAGACACAGGCAGAGGGAGAAGCAGGCTCCATGCAAGGAGCCCCATGTGGGACTCCATCCGGGACTCCAGGATCACGCCCTGAGCCGAAGGCAGGTGCTAAACCCAGGGATCCCCTCTGCATGCAGCTTTTAAGAGAAAAGCTAGGGATCCCTGGGTGGCGCAGTGGTTTAGAATTGGCGTGAGAGTGTACTTACTAGGCTCTTACCAACTTTCCAGAATTGGGTCTGTAAACCTGAGATCGGCAAACCTAGTCGGCCTAAGCAATGCCCTTGAGTTTTTGTGCCACAAAGGAACAGAATGAGAGGAGAGCAGAAGGGAGACTTCGTAGTGCAAGGGGAATAGGAATGGAAAAGGAGAGAAGAAATGGAACTCATAGAAGGATACTTGTAGTGTTTATTATAAGATTTCCTTGGAAAAATCAGCATATCAAAGATGTCGAATGAGGCAAAAGTATTAGTTATGTGTATATTTAATTTTGTAAGGACTTAAAGGTCAGGTGATCATAGATCTGCTGGTGTCCACACAATTTGCCCTTTTGCTGTTGGATATTGGAGAGGTGACGTATGAGTACGGGACAGGCTCCTTACAGAAGAGAGGGCATATTGTTCATTCATTTTGTTATCCCACAAAAATAATTTAAAAAGGCCAATCATTTTGTAAGCCTTATTCCTTATTTTCTAGTTTAACTCTTTGTTCTTTTCCCTAAACAGAATATTGTGGAGAACAGGCAAATTTAGTTTTCCAAAATAGCCATTGAAGTTCTTATCACTTTTTTTTTTTTTTTTGGTACTTGTTTGAATGTTGAAGTCGTGGTAAATATGGAAAAGATCAGGACCTCAGCTTCAGCTGAGTTTCCATTGCTTTTCCATTTCTATATCTGACGTCTCCAGGGGCACGACATGCACAGAACAAATCCAGGCAAAGCAAATTTGGGCATATTGCCTTTGGCTCTGACTTCCGTGAACTGACCTGATGAGTGGTCTTGAGAGCTTATTTTCCCTAGACTAGAAACAGGCCTAAGGAACCCTGAGCCCTGCTCTAGTTGATCTTCAGATGGGACGAGGTAAAGGCAGCCCCAGGTTCTTTTTACTACATAAGCCTCTTAGAGTGAAAGAGGGAGAACAGAACTAAGAAAATCCAAAATAACAGCAGTTCCAGGGCAAGTAGTTTCACTTTGCTGTCTAGTACACAAAGCTCCACACTGCATTACTGGACTTTGGCTCAAAACCAGCGTCCTCCTTTGGAGGGTGAAGGTGAGGCAAAAATAGGTCAGATCTCGGGTTCTCGTAAGTTTGCCACTGACAGTCACTCATATTAACCTCAGTATCATAGGGTAAATTGCCTCTCATCCTGAGAAAGTTAGCGAACGTGATAGGCTAGACCTGACCTACGGTTGCTCTTGTGAGAGAAGTCTTGTTAACTAGTTAAAGGACAAAGAACATTACTGATCAGATCCTTGTAAAATATATATTGCCAGCTATACGTATTGTAGATAGAGTGATGTCTTATTATTTGTCACTTCATTTCTTAAAAAGTATTAATATTTTTATTAGTGAAACAATAGAGATTATGTTGTATGCAAAGCCACTTTGTAAACGTGAAAAGGAAATCGTACCCCTGCACGGCTGTAGCTATATATCCTGGGCTTGCATTTCCTAGAAACCCAACAGTGAGATAAACTTTTTCTATTTTGCAAATAGATATTTTATATTTAGTTTAAAAATTAATGGGTAGGTACTGTAATCCCTAGACAGTAATAACCACACTGGAGGTCATTTAGTTCCACAAATATTAAATGTGAAACTGTATGCTAAAGGCTGTGAATAAGACGCAGTCCTGCCCATAAGAGTTTTTTAACTTACTGGAGGCAGGAGCTTCATTTCTAATTCTCTGTTGTCTAGTTTCTGATTGTACACTGGTTTTTAAGAAATAGCCCTACCTCTAATAAGGACTCTTTAGTAGTTGTCAGACCTGCCGGACTTCAGATGCCTATGTAGCCACTACACTATTTCTTTGTTTAATAATCTTCTACGTAAAGAAATAGAGTGTTTATGAAACTAATTTTGAAATTGACCATATGGAAAATTGGGAGAGATTAATGGTAAAGGCAGAGACAACACCGCTTAACCACCAGGAATGTTTAAAGTTGGCCTCGGTTGTTGGTGCTCATCGATGCTCCTGAGCGCCTGGGCGTCTGTCTTATTGATAGAGGCAAGTCTGGCAGATTGTACCATTTCATTTCAGAAATGAAAGATTTTTTTTTCCAAAAAAACCACAACAGACTTTTCCCCCCAAAGATTTTATTTATTCATGAGAGACACAGGGAGGGAGAGGCAGAGACACAGGCAGAGGGAGAAGCAGGTGCTCTGTGGGGAGCCTGATGCAGGACTCGATCCCAGGGCCCCTGGGTCACGATCTGAGCTGAAGGCAAACGCTCAACCCCTGAGCCACACGGGCATCCCAAGAGACTGTGTTTTGATAAACTAAGCTCCTAAAACATGGAAGAAATGTCAGTTTGTTAGCCTTGATATTTACTAGTTAGTGCCCTTCCAGTAGGGAGGAAAGGATAAATTGTGGAGTAAAGAGTAAGACCATAAGGAACTTTACAGTAACAGTAAAGTTATGGCGGTTGAGAGCCGCAGCACTTAGGATAGCAAGTTAGGACACCTTTTTTATTGGAAAAATGGCATCAAGGTCATATTCTTGGGTGGTGTTTTCAAAGACAACAAGCACCTCACTATCATTCTTTTTGTTAAACTCTCTACCATGTATCACAGCACATTAGGTCATATTGTATCTAATATGAATTACATTTTAGTCTTTTAGAGGAGATTTAAGGAACATTTTGGTCTCCTTGATACTGGTATTCAAAGTTATCTTATTGAAGAAATTTTGAAACACTGTTCAAAACCAAGTTTCTAAAGTATATCTGTGTAGGGGATTGCTTTGCACTGTGTAATATTTTTAGATACTTACACAGTTGCAAGTGTTCTGCTGAGACACTTTAACAGTGTCTTTGAAGTGTCCTTTGAAGGTGAAACAATTTAAAGTGGAAGAGAGATCATATTGTAATCTTTTTTAGATGACTTGTTCTCCATCTGCTTTTGAGGCCATTTTATAACTCACATAGTAGAGATATTTCTAAAGGTATAAAACAAGCTTGTGGCATTCCGTTTGCCAACCTGATGATTTATTTTCATTAAGCATTCAAGTACCTGTTTGTGTTGAGCACTAATACTAGGCACTAGTGACAGAGGGGTATGGGCCTTAGAGACCTACTCTCAGGAAGCTTCCGTCTGGTGAGAGAGGCAAATGAAAAATAACATTAAAATGATGTGTAAAGTATGTTGAAATGTAATCATATGCTATCTTGGGATGGGATAAGTAAAAGGAATAATTATCTCTGCTTAGGAAATCACTTAAGGAGGAAATTTAGGAATTTAGTTTTTAAAGATGATTAGGTACTTACCAGGTCAGTGAAGAAGGAAAGACATTATATTGGGGATGTCGTAATGTAAAATAGCAAGGTAAATTTGTGGAGTTCTAGTTGTTCGGTGTCGATGTAGACTGGGTAGAGATGTTATGAGAGACTCAAGATATTAATAAGGGCCCAATGAAAATGAACATTGGACTTGATCTTTTTATTAGTAGAAGCTATTGAAAAACAAAACAAAACAAAAACCTTGCTACACCTGGGTGGCTCAGCAGTTGAGCGTCTGCCTTTGGCTCAGGCCATGATCTTGGAGTCCCGGGATCAAGTCCCACATCAGGCTTCCCACAGGGAGCCTGCTTCTCCCTCTACCTGTGTCTCTGCCTCTCTCTCTCTCTCTCTTTCTCTCTGTGTCTCTCATGAATAAATAAAATATTTAGTGTATTCATAAAATAAAATACAGCAGTGGGAGGAATGGGCCATTTAGACACTAATGTGATGTCACAAAAGGTTGAAACCAGGGACAGAAGAATCTATACTATTTGTATAAAATTAAAAAACAAAACAAAACAAAAAACTAATCTAGGGTATTAGAAGTCAGAATAATTATTATTTTTTTGAAGATTTATTTATTTATCAGAGACACACACAGAGGCAGAGACATAGGCAGAGGGAGAAGCAGGCTTCTTTGGGGAGCCTGATGTGGGACTCCATCCCGGGACTCTAGGATTGCACCAGCAGCCAGAGGCAGCCACTCAATTGCTGAGCTACCCAGGCGTCCCAGTCAGGGTAATTATCATTCTTATTTGGAGTTGTGATTGAGAGGACACAATAAACCTTCTGAGCTTCATGGTTTTTTTTTTTTTTTTTTTTGGTTTTTGGTTTTTATCACATTCTATTTCTTAATCTGGGTGTCATTGACTTGAATGTATTTACCTTGTGAAATCCATTGAGCTATAATTTGTGATTTGTATACTCTTCTGAATGTTTTATGTCAACAAAAAATGCTTACATACGGCAAAAACCATTATGGCAGAAATGACATTATCCAGGATGTATATATAAAGTGAGAAGAGTAACAAAATTCTGGGGAGCACAGGAAACCATACACATATTCCTTTTTTTTTTTTAAATTAAAAAAAATCTATTTATATTCATTCTGTGCAGTATTTACTCCCAGGCCATAAGTTTTTGTTTCTTCAGTTTCTCCTGGGATATCTTTTTCTTCTGTGCAACCTCCTCTCCCGGTTTAGGAACAATCTGCTCTTTTTAGTAAGAATCATCTCGATGTGGCAGGGAGAGCTCATGTATGGGTTAATCTGGCCATGAGCCCTGTAAGTCCTACGTCCCATCTTGGGGGCTTTGTTCACCTGGATGTGCTCAATGACCAGAGAATCTACATCTAAACCCTTAAGTTCAGCATTACTCTCTGCATTTTTAAGCATGCCATGCACACATTCCTATTTCTTTCCCCATATTCCTCAGCTTTTTCTATGAAAGCACTGCATAAGGAAGAATAATGCTAAGAATGAAATTTCTATTAGAGAATAAGATTACTTTTGTAACATTTCTGCATAGAGACTGTTTCCAAGGGGACATTGGACTGAATTTATTCTTAGATTTTGCAAAAGTTAAAGAGTTGGAGGAAGAACTCCTACTATCATGAGAAAGACTTACCAGGAGGCCAGAGATGGTGCTAAACACAAAACAGCAACATTTTTGTCAACCATCTGGGTGTATAGGATACCAGTAAATGTACTGTAATACATCATCATCTCTCAGCGATGTACTGAAATGGTATACTTTGTGAATTATTTGGTTTGAGAAAGAGGGAAAAGGAAAGGATTTCCATACCCACTATCTCCTCAGAGTGCCTTTAGAAATGGGAAGTGGTCCCAATTAAACAAAAAAAGTCTATTAACATATATTAGAAAAGCATTCATCTGGACTACTGCATATTTCTCTCTGTTTTCCAGAAATGGCAGGAAATCTTCTGAAGACATCATCTTTGTCTGTAAGGACAAAATTATTACATCAAACAGGATTGTCCCTTTATAATACATCTCATGGCTTCCATGAGGAAGATATAAAAAAAAAACTTCAGCAGTTTCCTGGTGGATCCGTTGACCTTCAGAAGGAAGACAGTGGCATTGGTATTCTTACCCTGAACAACCCAAGTAAAATGAATGCTTTCTCAGGTATAGAGGTCTTTCTTTTGCTAAATAGTGACACTAACTCTAAGCTGCTATCACATTTTTATCTCTACTCTGGTGATGGAATTCTTGAAAGTTGTGGTATTCTTAGAACATACAGAGAACACTCGAAACCATCACTTTAACCGGGAACACTTTTTTTTTAATTTTTTTTATTTATTATTTATGATAGTCACACACAGAGAGAGAGAGAGGCAGAGACACAGGCAGAGGGAGAAGCAGGTTCCATGCACCGGGAGCCCGACGTGGGATTCGATCCAGGGTCTCTAGGATCATGCTCTGGGCCAAAGGCAGGTGCCAAACCACTGCTCCACCCAGGGATCCCCGGGAACACTTTTAAAAACTAATTCTGAATATTTTAATTTTTTAAAATCCGTAAATATGGTTGTTGATAGAAAGGAAACTTTCAAATTAACCTTGATTATTTTTTCCATTGACAGTTACTAACTCCCTAATGACTTCATTTGTTGAGCTGATGTCACTGGGAGACAAAGGGAAGGAGCTTTCAAAAATATTGAAAACTAAAGAGAAAAACTTATAAATGAAAAAAATTACTTAAATTTTTTTTCCCTATGTATTGAAATAAGACTGTCATTTAACCGTGTAATTCCAGTAATCAGTGAAAACACTGTCCTTGCCTATGTGTTGCTCCTTCCCTGACACTTGGATTTGCTGCTTAGCAAATAGAAGGAGCATGTAAAAATTTCACATTTAAGGGACCCAAAACTCTAGGACAGTGGTCATTTGTAATTTTGTGCCAAAGTGCAAATTTGAATTATACTACTATGACATCATGCAAGAGCTAATGAGTAACACTGCTGAGTATCTAGCACTCCTACATATTTCAGGGTGATTTTAGCAATTTCTGTTTGTCAGTGATGTAACTCACTGGTGGTTGATGATACTATGTAAGAGCAAATGACTAGCATTTGCTGACTACCCAGTCAGGATGACTTTGGCGATGTTTGAATGCTCGGAGTGTCCATTATGCACCTCATGGGGATAAATCATGTTTTATAATACTTGAAATACTGTGCTCAAAAATGTCTCAATAAATTTTCATACCCATATACATAATTGGTAGACTGTAAACTTTGTAAATTATTAGTGGTGGATCTTTAAAACACAAGATGACTTTTCTTTCCTCTCAGCATAGTTCAGAGATGTCTCTTTTAGTGTTATCCAATAGAAGTATAATGCAAACGCAAATGTGAGCCACATATGTAAATAAAAATTTTTAGTAGCCATGTTTTTAAAAAGTAAAAAAAAAAAAAAAGTAGAAGGAAATAGGTGGAATTAATTTTAGCATACTTATTAATCCAGTATATTCAAAAATATTTCAACATGTGACTCATATGAAAAATTATTTATAATGTGTTTTCCTTTTATCATACCAAGTCTTTGAAATCTGGTATTTTACACTTAATTGCACAGCTCAGTTTGGACTAGGCACGTTTCTGGTGCTCAAAAGCTAGATGAGGATCATGGCTACTTTACTGGACAGTACATCTCCATACCTTTAATTGGTTCAGAGAATAATAGCAAATTATTTTAATTATTTTTTAAAGATTTTATTTATTCATGAGTGACACAGAGAGAAGAGAAGCAGAGAGGGAGAAGCAGGCTCCCTGTGGGGAGCCCAGTGTGGGACTTGATCCTGGGACTACAGGATCATGACCTGTGCCAAAGGCAGATCCTTAACCACTGAGTCACTCAGACATCCCAAAAACAAATTTTAATATTAGTTCAGGATAAGTAACATTAGAAAAGTAAGACTGTTCTAGAGAATTAGACTAGATTAATTGTATTAAATTACTACTGAATAGCTACAAAGAATTTATATTAGTAAGGATTATTATTCAAATGGAAACCAATATTCATTTCATGGCTAATATTTAAAATGAATATGAGCAGAGGTGCTTTGATTTGGTCTAGGAGAAGATAAGTGAGCCACATCGCACAACCCCAATACCCTGGTTTGAAAATTACCCAGCCTAGGCACTCCTTTAAGTTTCCTTTCAACTCTATTTTTTTCTTTTCTTTTTTTTTTTTTTAAGATTTTATTTATTTATTCATGAGAGACACACACAGAGAGAGAGAGGGACACAGAGAGAGAAGCAGGCTCCCTGTGGGGAGCCCGATGTAGGACTCGATCCCCAGACCCCGGGATCACGCCCTGGGCTGAAAGCAGGCTCTCAACTGCTAAGCCACCCAGGGATCCCCTTCTTTCCAACTCTTAACCCTTAATTTACAAAGTCAAAAAGATGAATTCAAGATTAACTTCTAGTATAGATGTATCATACTCAAAACCAGCATTACTTTTTTTTAGAAGCTTAAATCTTAGGGATGACTGAAAGTCCATATTTACTTATATAGATTTATTCTTACTCTAATGAGTGGGTGTTTTTTTTTTTTTTCCGTAAAAAGCTACTAGACTATAAATCTTTTGAGAACAAGAACTATATTTCTGAAACACCTAGGACATCTTTGGATAGGGCTACAATCTTAATTAGGTCATAATTTGCAATTAGAAAGGATAGCTGCATTAGATACTTATGAATCAATAACATTTAACAGCATCATTGTGAAACCACTTCATTATTGGCTACTTCAGAAAACAGCAAAGAGAATTCATAGTTCTTGACATCATGGGGTTTATATTCCAGAGTAGTGTCCCTAATTTAATGGGGACTATATTATAGGTTTTGGAACCTTGTAATACAGAATCTTTGCCAGTTTTAATCCTCTTTATATTGGCTTGTAAATCAATTTCTTAAGCAGAGGCAAGAGTAAGCTTAATCATTAATAGCATTATGAACTTTATGCACCTGTGTGATCACTGGAGATAATTTATTGGCAGCCTTTTATAGTATGCCTTGGGTTAGAGCATAGTTTGTCAACTGTGGAACAAGATGATATGTACTATCCCTTTCCTGAACTAACATCCTGTTATAATAGTTTTCATGTGAATAGCATAGGAATCTTACCTTTGTTTTGTGTACCATATACCCGATAGATTATGAGATCTCTGTCTTCTGGGGCAATACTGTATTTGAGTTAGGAATACTGGCATAATTCTTGTTAGGAGCTTGTTGATTTTATAATCCTTGTTGAGCTTGTTGACTGCAACAGTGTGTACTACTGTGAAGTCAGGTCTATATTTGACTTTTACCTTAAGAAATATATATATTTTTTTACCACCATGTGTTTTATTCATTCTAATTTTCCTATTTCTAGGACGTGTATCATATATTCTCATTTTCTATCTAACCATGTATTTGTGTGATTTATTAATTAAGACAGAGAAAGGGAGAGAGATTACTAACGTATTGTAAACTTCTAAAGGAGGGACTGTCAAATACACCTCTTTTGTATATATCCCATGATACCAACACAAAAGACATTTGATAAATATTCAGTTAATATTGTAAAACGTAGGATCTAAGAGTCCTATTTGACAGTTGATGGTTTCTAAATTATTTCTCTTTTTCTAATATCTTACTGCTTTGATTCCCCCTCTTCTCTCTGGCAGGTGTTATGATGCTACAACTTCTGGAAAAAGTGATTGAATTGGAAAATTGGACAGAGGGGAAAGGTCTCATTGTTCGTGGGGCAAAAAATACTTTCTCCTCAGGATCCGATCTGAATGCTGTGAAAGCACTAGCGACTCCAGAGGCAAGTATTGTATGAAATATGCACTAGATACCACATATTTATCAGATATCTATGGCTAAGATATTTATATTTTACATATAGTTATTATGATAGTTGCTCTTTAAGACAAGAGATTTCCAAAGATCAGAGGTTTTGGTTTTCTTCTTAAATTCAAGTCGTAAGTAGTGTGACATAGTGGGAATGGGGGAAGGGAAGGAAGGACAAGATTAGCAATCACTAAAGCCCATTAAAACCAAGAGTTTTAAGTCTTTTTTTTTTTTTTTTTAAGAGTTTTAAGTCTTTTAAGTGGAAGACTCTTAGCATCTCATGACGAGGAATTTTATATGAGGTACATATATAAAGTACCCAGCAAAGCTTTGGCACATGGTAGGCTTCAACAGATGATAACAATTAAAATATTCGTGTCTGAATTACCCTGATAGAAAAGGTATCCTAATCATCTTCCACTATTAGTTATCTTCCATTATCCTCCAAGGAACCTGGGCTATATCCTCCAAGGAATCTAGGCCGCCAAGGAAGCCTACTTAGGCTAGGCTTCCACCTGTATCCCCTAGGCAAAAAAAAAAAAAAAAAAGAAGGAAGGGAAATATATAAGTAGTCATTGCCATTTAATTATAAGTGTGAGCTGTATGTAGGTAATAATGTTTTAATAGTATTCCACAACTCATACGGCTCTTTGTAGTATATGATCTATATTTACATCACATTGTTAGGCAAGAGCTCTCGTTTGATAGACTTAGATTGAATGCTGATTTCAACACCTGGGTAAATGGACAAATCACTTAGTCTTTTTCAGTCTTATTTTCCTAATCTAGAAATGAAAATTCCGTATTTCACATAGCTATTAGAGGATTCAAGATAATGTATATAGTGTGCCTGCTAGGATAGTGCCTGAAAAAGGTAGCTATTATTTTTATATCAAAGATCTCAATATTGATAAATGTTATTATCTTTGAGATGGTCTATTATTTGTAGCACCACTAGGCTTAAATTTGCTGTGTGTTCAAATGATTAGAGCACTAAGCTGTAGATTCAAATATATGGATTCTTGCCCTGGGTCATCTAATCATTAGCTATATGGCCTGCAATTTATTTGATTATAACTTTTCATCTCTGGAATGATTGAAATCCTAGGCACTTTGTTCATAAAAGACACTGGATACATAAAATGCAATAATAGATTATTTTGGGTCTGATGTAAGTTGGGTAGGAAAAGATCCCTGAAAAGGTGAAAGATTATTTTCCTTCTAGTTAAAACGTGTTTCTCTGTCTCTTTAGATCATATGGTCAGGATTTTTTATTTTTGCATACATGTAAAAGCTGAAAGTAGAATCATCCTAATTTCTATATGCCTGAGAAAAAAGAACTATGAATATTTATAAAACCAAGATTTAAAATGGCCTCAGCACTGTCCCAATTTTCCCAACATCATTTTTTTTTTTAAGATTTTTATTTATTTATTCATGAGAGACACAGAGAGAGATAAGAGGCAGAGACACAGGCAAAGGGAGAAGCAGGCTCCATGCAGGGAGCCTGATGTAGGACTTGATCCCTGGACCCTGGGATCACGCCTGGGCTGAAGGCAGATGATCCACTGCTGACTGTGTTCTGTAGTTTTTAGAGTACAGATCCTTTACCTCTGGTTAGGTTTATTCCTGGGTAGCTTATAGTTTTTGTTACAGTTGTAAATGGGATTGATTCCTTAATTTCTCTTTCTTCTGTCTCATTGTTAGTGTATAGATATGCAACTGATTTCTGTGCATTGATTTTGTATCCTGCCATGTTGCTGAATTCCTGTATGAGTTCTAGGAATCTTGGGGTGGAGTCTTCTGGGTTTTCTACATAAAGTATCGTCATCTGTGAAGAGTGAGAGTTTGATTTCTTCTTTGTCAGTTTGAATGCCTTTTATATCTTTTTATTGTCCGATTGCTGAAGCTAGGACTTCTAGTACTGTGTTGAACTTTAGTGGTGAGAGTGGGTATCCCTGTTATGTTCCTGATCTTAGGGGAAAAGCTCTCAGTTTTTCCCCATTGAGAATGGTTTCACTCATATGTGGAACATGAGAAGCACAGAGATCATAGGGGAAGGGAGGGAAAACTAAAAGGGAAGTCATCAGAGAGGGGGAGACAAACCATGAGAGATTCTCAACTATGGGAAACAAAGTGAGGGTTGCTGGAGGGGAGGTAGGTCAGGAGATGGGGTAATTAGATGATGGGCATTAAGGAGGGCACGGGCTGTAATGAGCACTGAGTGTTATATGCAACTGATGAATTATTGAACTCTACATCTGAAACTAATGGGTGTTCTGTATGTTGGCTAATTGAATTTAAATAAAAAAATATAAAATGGCCTCAGGACTTTTGAGGCTCACACATCTGTATGAGTTGCACCTGCACATATAAATGCATCTGCCCTTCACAGCTGAGACAGTCTGAGAACTCTTTTAATATTCCGTTGTGAACAGCCCTTCTCTAAGTGAAGCTCTTCTCTAATATACTTACTCTTTGTTGTTGCAGATGTATCACTAGTGTTTATTTATGTGGTAAATTTGCTTTTCTGAGGATGATGAGAAAACTAGAATAGATGATGATTTTAGTAATTGGATACAGTCCCTTCTGATTATAACAAGATACTTGAAAATGATTAATAAATGACTTTTTTAAAAGAGATAATTATGTTGATGTTTTTGCCACTGTATTGTTTCAAAAATATTAGTGAAAATTACCAAATTTAAATAGAAGTAGACTAATACAGTGAAACCCTCATGTACTCATAATAGCATTAATAGCCATCAACATTTTATTATATTTATTTATCAGTTTCCTTTTTAAAAAATGTAGCTGGTATCTTAAGTTGATTTCATTTTGGTGTTTTTTGTTTAATGAGTAGAAAACGAGCTCCAGCTGTCCCTATTAGGCAGTTAATCCTTGGTTGAAAAGGTTGAGGCAGGGAGATAGATTAACATAACACACACATTAGCCTGAAAAGTTATGGGACAAAGAAAATAATAAAATATGAAAAAATCTACCGTTAAGTACTAGCCCAATTATGAGTTGGATTTGACACCACCGGGTGTTCTGTAGACTATCAGAAGACGTTTTTTAAGAGGGCAGAAATCAGCCATATCCAATTATAACCTTTAAGATATGGGGAAATAAACCTACTTATTCTGCAGTGAATGGGCATAAGGCCCCGCGGAAAAGTCTGGCATTTTAGAAACCTTTATACTCTTAATCTAGCTTGAAGGCAATAATTTTCCTTTGCTCCCTGACCTTTCTTAGTGCTTTTCTGCCAATCTGTTGTCCATTATTTTTCTCTTGCTTAAATTCCTGCAGTGACCTCAAAGTTCTCATCTGACTTTTTTGCTTTTGTTACTACTTTTGTACAGTTTCATTTTAGCATCATTAATTTAGAGACCAATTATTCTAATCGTCTCTAAACCATCCCATGTACTCTGAGGCAATTAATAAATCCATACCACAAGAATTTAGGGGAAAAAGAGAGGCTCATTTATGGTTCTTGGAAGATACTTTTACAGGCTGGCATTTTTCTACTCGGGATAAATGTGACTTGGAGTAAATACGACATTAATAGTTGCTTTTGACACTTGGTCTGAGCAGTGTGCTTCCCATAGTTGTTATACAAATAAGAGCTCCTGGAGTAGGTTTGGGCCTCAGGGTATCATTTATCTAGGATATAAGTATCACTGGGTGCAGCAGCTCTTAAAACTTTTTTTTTTTTGTTACTTTCCAGCTTCTAGCCTTCATTCATCAGAGCAAGTTTAGCTTCTCATTGGTTCATTTTTCTCAGTTTATACTCTCACAAGCTGACGTTTGTCTCTCATTGGTTTATTTTCTTCCTACAGCCCAGGAAAGGGCCTGAGTATGTTGCCATTTTTGGCCCAATGGTATTGGGGGACATATGTAATCTTTTTTCTCCCTAGGTCATGTTGGCTAGTACAGTGTGATCTCTACTTTATGATATATTTAAAGCGGAAGCATACTCATTATTTGATTGCCAATGCTGTTACTAATGTTAATAATAGCAGTGCTAGATAACATTTCCTGTTCTCCTACTATGTATCAGGCACTATCTAAGTTTTTTACATGTCAGATTTATTTGGTCATTACTGAATGATTAAATATCCCCTAATGAGATAGCTGGTACTATTCTAGGTGAGGAGACTGAAACACAGAGAGGTTAGGTATCACGTCCAAAGCCAAAACAGCTAGGAAGGAGCCCAGATTCAACCTAGGCATGTTAGCTCTACAGTCTGTGTTGTTAACCATTGTTCTATACTGCCTTGAAACATTTTTAGTGTGACTTATCTTTTGAATGAGAATTATGGCAGTTTACAGTATAATACCTGCTTCACTTTCATTTCTACCAATTCTAGATGCTTCTGTTAGAATTTTAAGTACTCTAGTAGATCTAGTATAATGGAAAATAGGGCTCTTAAAATTAATTTATTGATATAATTTAACAGGCTTTATTCCACAGAGTTTTGTTTTTAAAGATTTTATTTATTTTATTTTATTTATTTATTTATTTTTTGTTATTCAAAATTTATTTTTTTTATATAAATTAATTTTTATTGGTGTTCAATTTACCAACATACAGAATAACACCCAGTGCTCATCCCGTCAAGTGTCCCCCTCAGTGCCCGTCACCCATTCACCCCCACCCCCCGCCCTCCTCCCCCTCCACCACCCCTAGTTCATTTCCCAGAGTTAGAAGTCTTTATGTTCTGTCTCCCTTTCTGATATTTCTCACACATTTCTTCTCCCTTCCCTTATATTCCCTTTCACTATTATTCATATTCCCCAAATGAATGAGAACATACACTGTTTGTCCTTCTCCGGTTACTGTGGCCAAGTTCAAAAAGGGTGTTGCCTGAGTTCTCCTCTGGGATTTTGATGGAATCTTGTCTCACATTTAGATCTTTCATCTATTTTGAGTTTATCTTTGTGTATGGTGCAAGAGAGTGGTCCAGTTTCATT